AAGATGATAATCATTAACAACACTTATAGAAAATGAACAGGATGCTACTGTGTATACGTATGAAAAAAGTTATTTTACCTTGTTTATCAAGTCCTGAGCCTTCTTCACTTTCCGGTGCTCCACTGAATCTAATGGGATCCAACCACAGCCACGGATCCATTCCAGATCAGATTTATAAATGTTCTGTAAAAATGAAAAACATGATAAAGAGAGCTATTTACATCTATGCAAAAAAAACAATACATCTAAGCCTTTTTAAAAAATCTAACAAATGATATATCTCTTATGTCTACTGGTAGGTCGGATTCCTAAATAAATTAAATGTTCACAAACTAATTACATAATTACTTACATCACTCTGAAGGTCATAAGCTTTCCTTGCTTGGATGCAGTCATTCTGATCAGGATGACATGTCCATTCATGAAGGTAATGACGATATGGAATTTCACTGACCACATGCTGGCAATCTCTGGCTGCAATGACTGATAGTATGTCTGGAGGTATGTGAATTTTAGACTTGGTCTTGTTGTATGCATCTTTGTACAATCGGTCATTCTGGATCTTGCCAGCATGCTCAAACCACACCAGTTTTGGGTCTTCTCTCATATTATTGACTCCAACGTAGTGACCCCTTTGGTTCACGTAATCTGCCTTGTATTTTAGCTGAAAAGGGAGAACACAGATACTTGAAATGTATACACTAGATTTCCCCCCCCCCCATTCTAAATGACTCAAGCATTCTTACTGAGATACATTGGCTGGAATCCTACTGGTGCTTACATAAGGCTTGCATAACTTTTCTTGCAGCTAATTGTAGGTAACTGATGATTGGCCAGGGAACATCCCAGTTGCTTAATCAGGGGAGTAACCCGCTAGGTGAATGAGATACATCCTAGCACTTTGTCAATTTGCAGCAATTAGAGAACACAAGTTCATAAATCTTACTTGAACACCAGTAGGATTCCAGTTATTATATTGTGTTCATGTTATAGTAGTTTATGGCTTTGATGGCCCGCATTCTTTAAAAGTGTAAAACAATCCACGGGGGCGGGGGGGGGAGACAATTTGAAAAGGAGTAAGCTATTGAGGAGAGAACTAGACAACAGATTTAGCATGTCATTAATAATAGAATAGTGAAGTTGAAAGGGGCCTAT